ACCGAGTTAGTGAGTGAGAGAGCGAGTGAGTGACTGAGTGAGCGACTGAGCGACTGAGTTAGTGAGAGAGTTAGTGAGCGACTGAGCGACTGAGTTAGTGAGAGAGTTAGTGAGAGAGTTAGTGAGAGAGTTAGTGAGAGAGTTAGTGAGCGACTGAGTGACTGAGTTAGTGAGAGAGTTAGTGAGCGACTGAGTGACTGAGTTAGTGAGAGTGTTAGTGAGCGACTGAGCAACTGAGTTAGTGAGAGAGTTAGTGAGCGACTGAGTGACTGAGTTAGTGAGAGAGTTAGTGAGCGACTGAGCGACTGAGTTAGTGAGAGAATTAGTGAGAGAGTTAGTGAGAGAGTTAGTGAGAGAGTTAGTGAGCGACTGAGTGACTGAGTTAGTGAGAGAGTTAGTGAGCGACTGAGTGACTGAGTTAGTGAGAGAGTTAGTGAGCGACTGAGCGACTGAGTTAGTGAGAGAGTTAGTGAGCGACTGAGTGACTGAGTTAGTGAGAGTGTTAGTGAGCGACTGAGCAACTGAGTTAGTGAGAGAGTTAGTGAGCGACTGAGCAACTGAGTTAGTGAGAGGGTTAGTGAGCGACTGAGCGACTGAGTTAGTGAGAGAGTTAGTGAGAGAGTTAGTGAGAGAGTTAGTGAGCGACTGAGTGACTGAGTTAGTGAGAGAGTTAGTGAGCGACTGAGTGACTGAGTTAGTGAGAGAGTTAGTGAGAGAGTTAGTGAGTGACTGAGTTAGTGAGAGAGTTAGTGAGCGACTGAGCGACTGAGTTAGTGAGAGTGTTAGTGAGCGACTGAGTGACTGAGTTAGTGAGAGTGTTAGTGAGCGACTGAGCAACTGAGTTAGTGAGAGAGTTAGTGAGCGACTGAGTTAGTGAGAGAGTTAGTGAGAGAGTTAGTGAGAGAGTTAGTGAGCGACTGAGTGACTGAGTTAGTGAGAGAGTTAGTGAGCGACTGAGTGACTGAGTTAGTGAGAGAGTTAGTGAGCGACTGAGCGACTGAGTTAGTGAGATAGTTAGTGAGCGACTGAGTGACTGAGTTAGTGAGAGTGTTAGTGAGCGACTGAGCAACTGAGTTAGTGAGAGAGTTAGTGAGCGACTGAGCAACTGAGTTAGTGAGAGAGTTAGTGAGCGACTGAGCGACTGAGTTAGTGAGAGAGTTAGTGAGAGAGTTAGTGAGAGAGTTAGTGAGAGACTTAGTGAGCGACTGAGTGACTGAGTTAGTGAGAGAGTTAGTGAGCGACTGAGTGACTGAGTTAGTGAGAGAGTTAGTGAGCGACTGAGCGACTGAGTTAGTGAGAGTGTTAGTGAGCGACTGAGTGACTGAGTTAGTGAGAGTGTTAGTGAGCGACTGAGTGACTGAGTTAGTGAGAGAGTTAGTGAGCGACTGAGTGACTGAGTTAGTGAGAGAGTTAGTGAGCGACTGAGCGACTGAGTTAGTGAGAGAGTTAGTGAGAGAGTTAGTGAGAGAGTTAGTGAGAGACTTAGTGAGCGACTGAGTGACTGAGTTAGTGAGAGAGTTAGTGAGCGACTGAGTGACTGAGTTAGTGAGAGAGTTAGTGAGCGACTGAGCGACTGAGTTAGTGAGAGAGTTAGTGAGCGACTGAGTTAGTGAGAGTGTTAGTGAGCGACTGAGTGACTGAGTTAGTGAGAGTGTTAGTGAGCGACTGAGCAACTGAGTTAGTGAGAGAGTTAGTGAGCGACTGAGTTAGTGAGAGAGTTAGTGAGCGACTGAGTGACTGAGTTAGTGTGAGTGTTAGTGAACGACTGAGTGACTGAGTTAGTGAGAGAGTTAGTGAGCGACTGAGCAACTGAGTTAGTGAGAGAGTTAGTGAGCGACTGAGTTAGTGAGAGAGTTAGTGAGCGACTGAGCGAGCGAGTGAATGAGTGAGAGCGAGAGAGAGAGAGCGAGCGACTGAGTTAGTGAGAGAGCGGGTGAGAGATAGAGTTAGTGAGAGAGTTAGTGAGGGAGCGAGCGAGTGAGCGACTGAGTGAGTGAGCGACTGAGTTAGTGAGAGAACGAGTGAGAGATTGAGTTAGTGAGAGATTGAGTTAGTGAGAGATTGAGTTAGTGAGTGATTGAGTTAGTGAGAGAGCGAGTGAGTGACTGAGTGAGTGAGCGAGCGAGCGACTGAGTTAGTGAGTGACTGAGTGAGTGAGCGAGCGAGCGACTGAGTTAGTGAGTGACTGAGTGAGTGAGCGAGCGACTGAGTTAGTGAGTGACTGAGTGAGTGAGCGAGCGAGCGACTGAGTTAGTGAGTGACTGAGTGAGTGAGCGAGCGACTGAGTTAGTGAGTGACTGAGTGAGTGAGCGAGCGAGCGACTGAGTTAGTGAGTGACTGAGTGAGTGAGTGAGCGAGCGACTGAGTTAGTGAGTGACTGAGTGAGTGAGCGAGCGAGCGACTGAGTTAGTGAGTGACTGAGTGAGTGAGCGAGCGAGCGACTGAGTTAGTGAGTGACTGAGTGAGTGAGCGAGCGAGCGAGCGACTGAGTTAGAGAGAGATTGAGTTAGTGAGAGATTGAGTTAGTGAGAGATTGAGTTAGTGAGAGATTGAGTTAGTGAGAGATTGAGTTAGTGAGAGGGCGAGTTAGTGAGAGGGCGAGTGAGTGACTGAGTGAGTGAGCGAGCGACTGAGTTAGTGAGTGACTGAGTGAGTGAGCGAGCGACTGAGTTAGTGAGTGACTGAGTGACTGACTGACTGAGTTAGTGAGTGACTGAGTGAGTGAGCGAGCGAGCGACTGAGTTAGTGAGTGACTGAGTGAGTGAGCGAGCGAGCGACTGAGTTAGTGAGTGACTGAGTGAGTGAGCGAGCGAGCGACTGAGTTAGTGAGTGACTGAGTGAGTGAGCGAGCGAGCGACTGAGTTAGTGAGTGACTGAGTGAGTGAGCGAGCGAGCGAGCGACTGAGTTAGAGAGAGATTGAGTTAGTGAGAGATTGAGTTAGTGAGAGATTGAGTTAGTGAGAGATTGAGTTAGTGAGAGATTGAGTTAGTGAGAGGGCGAGTTAGTGAGAGGGCGAGTGAGTGACTGAGTGAGTGAGCGAGCGAGCGACTGAGTTAGTGAGTGACTGAGTTAGTGAGCAAGTGACTGAGCGACTGAGCGAGCGACTGAGTTAGTGAGTGACTGAGTTAGTGAGCAAGTGACTGAGCGACTGAACGAGCGACTGAGTTAGTGAGTGACTGAGTTAGTGAGCGACTGAGTGAGTGACTGAGTGAGTGAGCGAGCGACTGAGTGAGCGAGCGACTGAGTTAGTGAGTGACTGAGTTAGTGAGCGACTGAGTGAGCGACTGAGTGAGCGACTGAGTGAGTGACTGAGCGAGCGACTGAGTGAGCGACTGAGTGAGCGAGCGACTGAGTTAGTGAGTGACTGAGTTAGTGACTGAGTGACTGACTGACTGAGTGAGTGACTGAGTGACTGACTGAGTGAGTGACTGAGTGAGTGACTGAGTGAGTGAGCGAGCGACTGAGTGAACGAGCGACTGAGTTAGTGAGTGACTGAGTTAGTGAGCGACTGAGTGAGTGACTGAGTGAGTGAGCGAGCGACTGAGTGAGCGAGCGACTGAGTTAGTGAGTGACTGAGTTAGTGAGTGACTGAGTTAGTGAGCAAGTGACTGAGCGACTGAGCGAGCGACTGAGTTAGTGAGTGACTGAGTTAGTGAGTGACTGAGTGACTGAGTTAGTGAGTGACTGAGCGGGCGACTGAGCGACTGAGCGAGCGGCCCACCGAGAATGCTGCGGCTGGTGATGCCCCTCTCGGTGACTGTGGCGGCCAGCAACGCCGGGGCGGCTGGCAGGATGTAGGCCTGGTGCAGAGCGTCAGGCCTCGCCGGGGGACTCAGCGAGCTGAAGGCCGCCGAGGACGACGGGCGGCCCCCCCCCACGGCCCCCCCTCCCTCCCCCTCCGCCCCCCCCGCCGTGGCGAGGGCCCCCCCGGAGGACGCCTCGAAGAGCTCCAGCGAGGTGAGCTCAGAGCGGCGGGACTTCGAGTTCCAGTACTGGAACTGGTGGGGGGGGGGGTGGGGGGGGTGGGGGGGTGGGTGGGGTGGGTGGGGGGTGGGTACAGGAACAGTGGAGTGTCACGTTAGCCCACCCACACACTCACCACCCCCACTCACCCACACACTCACCACCACACTCACTCACCACACAACCCACTCACCATCCCACTCACCCACTCACCACCCCACTCACCCACACACTCACCACCCCACACACCACACCGCCCACACACTCACCAGCCCACTCACCCACTCACCACCCCACCCATCCACTCACTCACTGCCCCACTCACCACCCCATCCACCCGCTCACCATCCCACTCACCACCCCACCCATCCACTCACTCACCAAACCACTCACCACCCAACCCACACACCACCCCACCCACCCGCTCACCACCCACCCATCCACTCACTCACCACCCCACTCACCACCCCACCCACCCGCTCACCACCCACCCAGCCACCACACCCACCCATCCACTCACTCACCACCCCACTCACCACCCCACCCACCCGCTCACCACCCACCCAGCCACCACACCCACCCATCCACTCACTCACCACCCCATCCACTCACTCACCACCCCACCCACCACCCCACTCACCACCCCACTCACCACCCCACTCACCACCCCACTCACCACCCCACCCACCACCCCACTCACCACCCCACTCACCCACTCACTCACCACCCACCCCCCCACCCACCCACCACCCACCCACCACCCACACCCCCCACCCACCACCAGCCAGTTCTCCGAGTGGACGAGCCGCAGCGGTCCACGTGCCCTCCGCACCACAGCCGAGTGGAGCAGACAGCCGGTGACGGTGTCCACCAGCACCACCGACACCCATCCTCGCTCAGACGCCTGCCCGCCACCACCGCCTCCTCCGCCACCGGCGGCGTTGGTGGTGGCGGTGGTGGTGGCAGAGGAGGAGGAGGAGGAGGTGCCGGGCTCGACGCTCTGAAGAGCCACCGCCACCACGTTACGGTTCAGGTA